GCTACCTTGAAGAATAACAAGGAAGCTGCAAGCCACTGCATAACATGGATGAACCTTGAGGACATTATTCTGAGTGAAATCAGACTGTAACAAAAGGAAAAATACTGCATAGGACCATTACTGAAAAAGATTAAGAAAAAGTACCCACACTAAAAGGGAGGTAAAAAAAAAAAGTTTTTTTGTTGGTTACCAGAGTGTATGGGATGGGGTGAGGGGAGGGAGGGGAAGGTGGGACACAGTGTAGGGAATAGACACAGGATACTGGAGCACAGGGTAGGGAATAGACACAGGATAGTTTGGGTGCTGGGGTGGGCATACACTAGAAAGGGAGGGGAAAGGAAGAATACGGCAGATGGGAGAACAGTTAGACAGGTTTACATGGGCTAAATAGGACAGAGGTAAATAATGATGTAAGCACAACCATGGAACAACAGGGCTTAGGGATACAAAGATTGAGGCATGGTTTGAATGGGTGAAAGTAGGGAAATGATGTTAAGATGTTTGGCTGTCATTTGAATCTTGGTTTCCCTTACCTCCTATTGTAAAATAGACATTTGAAGGGGAGAGAAAGTAATAGCCAGAAACATCACTATAGAAAGCTTGTAAGTCTGTCTTCGGCCTGTAACTGATTGGAATACCTAAAATGGGGCTAGAACTTGCGCAGTGAAGGAGGCTTCCTGCAGAGCCTTTGCATTGCACAAGACGATAGGTGAAATCCTGATCTCCCACCCAGAATCTTCTGAAGTGGGAAATTTCCACTTGAAAGGACAAGCAGACCAGTCTAGAGCAGCTAGAAGAAACAGAAGATACTTCTTGAAAGAAAGACCAGCAGGAAAAAGAAAAAAGAGTAACAGCAGTCCGATTGCTTACTACAAGAAAAAGCAAGTTGTTCCCCTGGGATCCATCAATGCAAGTGGTCAGGTCCCCTCAAGGCAAACCCCCTTCCAAGACTGAGACTCAAGTGGAATACACGAGCAGGCATGTGGTCTTGCTGTTGACCACGTTGGTCACCGAAAAGGGGAAGTGGGGGAAAAACAGCAACGAAGTTGTGAGCTAAGTTTGATCAAATTCAATAGATTCCTGTTAACCTGGATTGAGACCTGGTTGGCCATCAGTATAACGAGACCTGGGGACTCCTGGGCCCAGGGACAGGGACATGGCCCCAGAGGTCTAGAGCAGAGTGTGAAGCATCCAGCTGATATGAAGTGAGGGGCGATGCACAAAAACACCCACACTTGCAGATAGTACCCATTTGACCTGGCATCAATGGCTGGATGATCAGAACATGACTTGAGGAAGAAAGAAGAGAAAAAAAAGAGCAATCCACTACAATGAGATGAACTTAAACTGTGCTTGTGGATGCAGTATGGCAAAGGAGCGAACAAATCTTTACAGTGAGGATCATTCCCAATCCCTTTGTACACAGGGTCTAAAATGATGGGGAACTTAGACATTGGCTACCTAAAATGGGGTGGGGGTGGGGCACAAAGTCAAGAAATGACTGACTTACAAACTTTCAATAAGGAACCTAGTTCCAGAGGGTATGGGGAAAGGTAGACTCTCCACTGAGTTGTTTCCAACCTGTCTGGATGGGCTGATAAGAGGTGATGGGGATAAGACTCCTGTGGTTCAATAGGGAATGACTGCTATCAGGTATAACACTGAGTGTTGGAAAGGTAAAGGTAGATGTTTTGTAACAAAAGGAGGGGAGTGATTGATTTTGCAGTTCAGGAGCAGAGATCTCTGAAACCATCAAGGGAGAAAAGCGAGTGGGACCCTATCCAGAGAAGCAGTGACACTACGGATAGAGAAGCAGTGACACTAGGATGGAGGTAGAGATGATGACATGGAGAGAAGGAGCAGCTGGGGACTCTGGGCTCAGGGAGGGAGAGGGGCTGTGTGCTGGTGACTGGGAGGCAGGCATGTGGGGTGTACCCTAAGGTTGCTTGATGATGCATTGCTTGGGATTGTAATCACTGTAATGAAACAAAATACGACAAGATGAATGTAATGTTCTCCCATGTAAATTAAAACATAATTTACAATGAAAACTTAAAAAAAAAAAAATAAGGTAATCTACACAATGATTGTTGGTAAGTGCTGTTATGTCAGTTTTGACTCATTGTGACCCTGTAGAGGGTTTCTGAGGAGTGGCTGGTGGGTTTGAACCACTGACCTTGTAAGATAAGTCCAGTGCTTATCCGACAGTGCCACATCAGTACTCTGCAAGCTAGTAATTGTTGTTAGGTGCCATTGAGTCGGTTCTGACTCATAGTGACCCTGTATGCAACAACAAAACAAAATACCACCCAATCCTGCACCACCCTCAAACTGTTGTTAGGCTTCAGCCCATCGCCATGTGCCAATAAATCAAGTTGGGGTCTTATTTTTTTTCGCTGGCCCTCTACTTTACCAACCAAGCATATGTTCTTCTCCAGTGAGTGGTCTCTCC